AGCTACCAACAACGAAATCGTTTGGAATCTTGCTTTCTTCCCCGTTGTTACATCTATTCTTGTACTTAGCAATGATGAGAATGCGAATATGCCGCTTAGGGTTTGAATTATTGGGTATGGATTGCTATGTATGATGCATAGGGTATGTGTTTGTATGGATTATTGGGTATGATTGTAATTTGGTTGAAATTGCAGTAAGGAGCTTTGAAAGAAGACATTGACCAACTTACTAAATACAAATTCTGAAAGATCGCTGATTCTGAGAAACACACTGTTGATGAAGAAGAAGCACAAGGAGATTCAGGAGGAGTGATGACTGAGTGTGGTACAGATTCACCCGTCCAACATACTCTTCCTCATGAGGATGCAGTAAGTAAACACGAAATCAATCTATATTCATGTTTTGATGGAGAAAACCGGATTTTAATGAGCAAAAGTGGATTATTTTTCTATGGATATTGTCTTGTGGACAATTTTCTGTGGATATATTATCATGTATGGCCCCCTTGTCTCATGGATTAGATTGTGTGGATAAATTATAATGGATACTTGTCAATTTCTTTAACATCTTCTCTGTTTTTAGGTTCTTGTTTCCATGTTTTTAAGTACCTTTTGTCTCTCACTTTAATATAAGGCATTTGGTCAGTATCTTGAGTAAATTTGTCTTCATCACGCAAGTATTAGGCTAGAGACGAATCTTGAAAGATCTTCAAATTTATGTGTCTTCCAAACTTTTGCCTTGAACCTCTTTGCTTTCATTGTCTTTCAGGGAAATACGGTGGGGAAAAATGAACCGAGAATGATGCAAGCCTAATGATAAACTCAAGTTCCTCTAAAAAATTTTAAAATGGAATCACATCGCCATACATGATTAGAGAATTAATGTAATTGTCTGTGTGCCTTAGAGATCACATGGTCAAAGTTTTATGGTTACAAAAAAGACCTTAGAGATCACAGGGTCAATGTTTTATGGTTACAAAAAGGCTTAACAATGCAAAACTAGGTTTAAGCCTGGTTGGAGAAAGATAAGACAACAAAATGCCATCTAATTTATATTTCAATTCCAAAGACTTAGCCAAAACTAGTTTTGGAGAATTTAATCAAACCATAAGTTCATTTAACTTAGGTCTTTTGATTGCAACTTGCAGGTCTTCTTCACTCCCTTTGCACCTTCGACAAACCTTGCAATAACTTGAAACTTATCCATCTATTAAATGATTTCTCTTTGTTATGCATAATGTCCACTCAAACTTGTCCATGTATTTATGCTTCTTTGCTTCTCTATGTTGGAATCTCTTGCAAACTCTGCCATAAAAAATGCAAACGCAAATCTTAGATTATCATTTTCCATAAATTTTATTCATGTCCACGGTAAAGTATCCACGATAAACTATAAAAAATCAAATAACATAGTATCAAAAAGTCGTAATACGTATCGACACTAACCATAAATCCCCCGACACTAACTCATGAAACGTTCAAAACAAGTGGAAGCATTCTGCCTAATTAACCCAAACAAATCACATAACTTGGGTCGACGACATCAATCTGTTCTATAAAGACTTCAAAATCAACACAAATGTTCACAATTTAGGGAAGATATACAAATTACGCAAATCATGCCCACATAAAGATCACATCGGTGAAGCTTGTAACCCTTAATCAATTTCTATGGGAGAAGCTTATGGGATATAAAACCCAATTGATTTCAGGAACATAAATTGACAGAGAAGAGCTAAGAGTCTCCAACAAACCGTGATGGAGTCATGACAGTGGCGGAGAAGAAGAAAACTCCGGCAGCGAAGAAGAAGGCTTTGTTCCTACGGCAGGGCAGAAGAAAAACGTAGACAAGAGATGGAGTCGCAACGGCGAAGAAGAAAAGATCGGATCAAAACCTCATATAACCCTTCGTTATAAACTCAATTTACAAACGCCCTCGTCATAAAAGCTTTTCTTTTTTATTTTCTTTCTTATTCGAAACCGTGCGAAATGACAAAATAACCAGACAAGTTCAATTTAATTACTGACCCAACCAGTTATTGACTCGACCCATACGGATGATCTGACCCATCGTGTGTAAATCGAATTTAAACCGGACAGTTTCTTCTTCGCAAGCCACGACGTTTCTTCTTCTCCGTTTCAAACTGTCAAAGACGAAATTTCCCTCTAAAAATCGCACAACTAGACATAACTAACTTGCAATTCGAGAGAAGGTATGTTGAAATTCTATCTTTTTCGATTTCGTAGATAATGGCTTCATTAGATTAAAGATTTGTCGATTTTGACCTAAAAATGGGGGGGGGAGAGGGCGTAGAAAACAAGCATCTATTTCGGCCAAGGGAACTCCAATAAACCAAAGAGTTCCACGGATAGTAGATAATATAAGTTCAGAGGAAGAGGCGGAGGAATCGGCTGGGTCAGAAACTGGATCTGAGGATGCGGAGGAAACAGGGTCAGAAGTTGGGTCTGAGGAAGAGGCGAAAGAAAACATGGTATGTAAATCTTAAATCGAAAGTCGAAATTGTTGTTAAAACAAAAACCTAACACTTGGTACAACTGGAGAAAAACTGTGATATAAAACTATTTTA